GGCCCTAGGCCTGGAGAGCAACAGAATCCTGTGGCTTGCCATGACCCAGCCCTACTCTCCATATCCAGTGGTTCCACACAGAGGTACACGGGGGTCGAGGTCAAAGCCATATGTCATTAGATAGAGGGACTTTGCCTAGAGGTCTCTCTGCTGAGCTCTTAAGAGAGCCTAGTAGGGTGGTTGTCTGTAGCCGCAATAGGCTAATATTTATGGACTTGGGAATCAAGCGGCCTGACTTGCCCCTTCATTAGTGATAGGAGTAACACCAACCAACACAGCAATTCAATTTATGGTGTACTACCAATATGTAGCCCATATATAACTCTGTTCTCCAACAACTAAGCGTCTATATTCTTCAGGAACTTTCAACACTTTGATGAAGAAACAATAAGTGGAAACATGTAACCTCTAGGGGGAGCTCAAGGTTTCTCTCTCTCCTTCTATCCTCTGGGGAGGATGAGGACTGCTAGAAATGGGTCAACGTCAAGGACATTATTGGGCCCAAGTGGGGGCAGGTGGCCTTTGCCTATCCTGGAGGCAAAAGGGTTTTGCATGGGTCATCCTGTAAGACACAGAGCCAACAGCCATCCTGTAAGACATAGAGCCATTACTATTCACTCGGGAGTCTTTTGACCTTCCCTTGGAAGGCCACCTTTTGAGAATTCTTCTCCCTTGTGGCTGATGTCATAGGAGGGGCCCTTCCCATATCCAAGGAACCCTGGCAGGAGCTGAATGGGACAGAGGAAAAGATCACGTATGGATGTATGCCAGTCTGGGCCCTAGGCCTGGAGAGCAACAGAATCCTGTGGCTTGCCATGACCCAGCCCTACTCTCCATATCCAGTGGTTCCACACAGAGGTACACGGGGGTCGAGGTCAAAGCCATATGTCATTAGATAGAGGGACTTTGCCTAGAGGTCTCTCTGCTGAGCTCTTAAGAGAGCCTAGTAGGGTGGTTGTCTGTAGCCGCAATAGGCTAATATTTATGGACTTGGGAATCAAGCGGCCTGACTTGCCCCTTCATTAGTAATAGGAGTAACACCAACCAACACAGCAATTCAATTTATGGTGTAGAAAACATGTCCTGGGAAAATATGTATGATATAAACATAAATACAATATAGTGTATTTATGCAAATGAGTTATAAAAATTATATATTGAAGAAAGTTTGAAATAAAGCATTATGGAACAAAGCAGAAATATAGTTTATTCAACCAAATTAATGCATGGGGCATGGAATCATGTTGAGAGCCCTGGCCTGGAGCTCAAGGGGATGGGGCTCAGGATCTTTCCCTGGATGGGCTCTGCCAGTTCAGTGGGTCTTCAGGGAAGAAGTTCACTTAGTGGAACGAAGAGCCTTCCAGGGGAAAGAAACAGAAATCCTTTAGCTTCTCTGGCTCCTGGCTTAGTTTGAATTTTCTCAAAACAGATGCCGAGATGAGGACTTAGCATAGTTCATTTATTTTCAGATCATTTAATGAGCTGATTACCACTCAGGGCAACGAGGATTCAGTCCTGTGGGGGTTCAGTTGACATATCTCAGGATCAGCCCCCTGGAGGACAGGAGGCCGGGGCATTTATGCACCAACTCCCACTCCCCACTCATCCAGTTTCCCCTTGGGCATCAGCTTACCACACTTCATGGTTCTGGAGAGTGATATCAAGAGTGAAGGACAGACTGTTGAGGTGGGAAGCTGTGTGCCACAGTCCCGTGTCCAAGACTTCAGGTGACTCAAATGTGCTGAGAAAACATGGGACAGGGCATCAACAACATCCTCACATCAAAATTGAAACTGGTCTAGATAACCTCCAAAGCTGCTCCCCACTTTTGTGCCAGGACCACTGGTTTTCTATCCTTGGTGATAGTAAGTTGCCCATCTCTAGAAGTAACTAAACAGATTCTTGATAACCACTTGGAAAGAATGTTGTTGCATCAGATATGTGATTGGAATAAGAACTTTTAACATATTGTCTTAGGTTGAGTTCCTTGGAAACAAGACCTTGTGATAAGGATTCAGGTGCAAGTGATTTAATAAGGAAGTGCTCCCTTGGGAGGGCAGTAAAGGAGTGAGAGAAGCAGGACAGAGAAGGGAAGGGAGCCAAGGAAGGGTTCCACATAGGACAGAGAAGGGAAGGGAGCTGGGGAAAGTCCCAGCCTCAGCCTCATCCTGCAGGAGAGCTCAAGAGTGTAAATTACGCCTCAGATTTTGTTGTGACTCCAGGCTAGGGAGTGGGGTTTTCATACTCCCTCGCCCTTCAGTCATTGACTAAGGGCCCCCCCAGCCAATATAAACTTCCAGGCATTTCCAGCTCTCCACCAGTATGGGCAGAGGGGTTCCAATTGCCTGAGGACAGTCTTTTGAGGAGAGCAGGTGTAAGCAATTAGAAGCAAAAGCACAATGAAGCTGGAGGGGTGCAGGGATCAGTAAAAGCCATCCAAGGGGACATAGCCAATATCTGCTGCAGTTACCATGAGGATGGCAGTCACACCTGTGTGGGTGTTTTGCTTGTTCTGGTACAGATTTACAAGTCCTTGTGGGTGAGGCCTTGGCTGCCAGGCTCCAAAAGTCCTGTCCTTGGCCCACTGTAATGCTGCAGACAGCCAACAGAGAGGAGACTTAGCACTTCAGAGCTCAAACTTCCAGAATCTCATGATACTAACAAGAGCAATTTTTTTTAAGAGGATGGAAATTGGAGCTTATAAGGAACAGAAAGAATGATTTCAAATTCTC